CTTCAATCCAAATGTCAAGTACAAATGTGCTCACGCTCGTTCAAAGAACGGCATTATATGCACCGCCATGTGCGTTTACCTTGGAAATGTCAGAATATATGGTATATAGGTATCTACCGATGAATGTAACCTTGCTTGCGGTATTTCTTCCTTACAATCAAACCTTGGATCCATGGAAGAACATTACAAGCGCAGATATTAATTTGCAAAGCAACGTATATAAATTCCTATTTATATTTTGTTTTTTTGCTGAAAAAATTAAAATATTACACGCATATCTGTAGCTTGGAGTATTTGTTCAAAGAAATATTCATTAATTTTTTAATTTGATCATTTTTTAGATGTACAGAATTTATATTATCAATTAATTTTGTTATCGGCAAATTAGTTTTATTATTTATTCTAAGTCTATATTTTGAAAAAGAAGGGGAATAATTTCTATTTATAGACTAGAAAAATATATTATCAACACGAAAGTTTAATTTTTAAGCAATTTTAATCAATATTACGTTTCAAAATCATTTAGAGAAATTACATAATTTCATTTTATTTAACTCCATTTCACGAAAACCATATGTCTCTTCCTTTTTTCGAATAATATTTAGTGCTACAAGAAACATGCTCTTATTTCTATTTAAATTTATCCATGGTCGTAACAGCGGGCCGAAATAACTATAGCGCCTGCGCTTAAATGTTGGAATGTAACACAAATCTCGTGTGCTTTGCAATTAGATTGGTATCATCCGAGTGTATCAAATCTGTGTACATATTTGCATGGAAGATTTGTGACCGTTATAATGATTCGTGTTGTCGTATCCATGGTTAAACTTAGCGCGAGAAAAAAAAAGACTGTGTCGAAATTTGTAATTCTCTCAAAGGAACGACTGATTACGCTGTCGCCACTAATACTCAGGTATACACACGCGCAGGTGTACACACGTAGTTGATGAGAACACATCTAATCCGAACAGCAAGGTCCTTTAAGTCTTCTTATACCGAGAAACGACCAGACTCCCCACGGGAGCCCTCTTAGCCTGGGAGTACAATCCGCATCAAAAATATCCAACGTTCTAATGTTGTTAAACTATTGCAGAGCTCCTAGATCTTGAAAAAAAATTTGCACAGTATGGTTTGCACTTATACATTAGAATAGGTCATGTCAAAGATCATATTTTTTTCGTTTTTTGTTGTCGATAATTTTGTCGATAGTTAAATGTACCTACTTAGGTACATTTAACATTAGTGCTGTACGTAAAACAGATTTTACAAAATCTTTGTTCCAAATTTTATCAGTAGAATGCTAGTGGAAATAGGCTTTGGATATGTTAACAGAATATGACGGCAGATCGACTGTAGAAAGCGAGCGGAATCAGTCATTTAATTCATAGCCATTTAAATAATACATTCCATTTAAATAGTTACGAAATGACAGACTCTGCTCGATTGAGAAGATAGTGGACACGTGAACTAGTCGTTAAAAAGTAATAATGGACGATCACTTATACCAAATTGTATTTGTTATGCATATTTGTTCAAATATGTATATCTGTGTTACATTTAGCAAATGCTACGATATTACATTACATTATTTCTCAATTACAATTTAATCTACTGCCTTCGGTCAAAAGAAGAAAGTTCAATACAGTAGTATTTTTCTCGCTCTCGTGTTTCTTCGTCCGCGAATATCCTATCTAATTTTTATTGTGCAGAACATCAAATATATGGAAAAGTATAGTACAAAAACACGCACATTCCTGTCCAAAATTGTGGTTGTAACAATAGATGCGCGTGTTTATCTCTTAGTTTGTAATATGAATCTCACATATGTTTGGCATAAAGAATGTAACAGAAAGAAGAAAGAGTTTGTCAAAGTGACAGATAGCCACAAAAAAAAGGAAAGATAGAAAAAACAAAGAGGCAAATAAATTGTAATTTTTTTCAATGATTATATAATGTGAATAATATTTATTTACATGCAGACTATAAATATGAAATGAATTTTAAAAATAAATAAAACAATTATATATTTTTTCAGGATTTCTCAAATTTAGTTTACGTTTTTCAGAATACGCGACGCAATGTACCTATAATATGTATATTCACAAAAAATTTCTTAGTAAAATAAAAAAAAAATAAAAATAAAAGGTTGTAAAATTTCGTGGAATTATTCGTCTTAATTTCTTTACGCAGTGTACATTTATTCTAGCATTTGGTTTTACATTACCGCCGATAAGAAATCACCGTCCACTGCGGTGACGCGGCGGAAAACGGCAAGATTAGCGACGGCGCTATTGGATCTGAGAGCAAGAATGTAAAATGAGAGCTTCATCTTGCCCTCCCATAGAGATCCTGTCGGTATATAAGGTACAGTAAGCTGAGTAGGGTCGATAAGTGTCGTTGTAATTTTCCATCATCATAAATCAGCGGCAACTCCTTGTTCTTAACTTCCCGCAATATTCAACATCGGTTCGTTGCCTTCGTTTTTCTTACTGTCGCATGCTTTACTAATAACGCACACGTGATTCACATTCGCACACATCATAATATGTAACATTTATTAACACATAGCAATAAACTGCCTCGACGCAGTTTCAAACGTGCAAGAGATCGAATGTCGTCCGCATGACGAAGAGGAAGGACGTTTTTGCCATCGCATTTAAAATGATAATTCTTACGAGCAAGCGAGTACTTGGTCATGAGAAGATAAAACGTTTTCTTCGTATATATTGCTTCACTGCGTCAATAAAGCCATTAAAAAATAAATACCGCAATAAATTCTTAAAATGTTAAAAAAATTTTTTAAAATGTGACGTTTATATCAGAAGAACTTCTGTTTTTGATTGCTAAGAATCAAATTGCGATTAACTTATTAAGCAATATCTGTACCATTTTATTAATAGAGAGAGAATAATTAATTTTTTATTCGAGCAAATCACACTTTTATGAAGGAGTCTCGCAGACAATGAAGTACTCTTTTACAAGATTATGTTTAGAACTAAACTCATTAATAAATGGCATTATGGTTGAAAAGTCATGTATTTTATTTATTGCATTAGATCTTATTATTCTTTTACAAGAAAAAATCGCCTTAACTTTCAGATTCTGTAAATGTATTATTTGATAGATATACAAGCGCATGCACTTCATAGATTTTTCCGTCATGTGCGAAAATTGCCGCGTCACTCAATTATCATAAATGCTTGCGTAAAGAAAATGATAATTACTGTACAGTATGAAATATTTGCTAGTCATTTTGTTACATATTTTCTTCATTTTTGTCTTATAATTTTTTATATTCTTTTATTTGTTAATATTCTCCCATTTCTTTGCCCGTGTATAAATCACGTCCGTTTTTTTATAATATAAAATATGTAAATGCGACTTCTGTTTAAACTTGTTCATGGCCTAGATGCAAGCCTTAGATGTATTAAATAATTCGAAATGCGTGTGCGATGAAACTATCAGAGTACATGACACATAAATCTTTATTCCAATGCAAAATCAGTTCGACAGCATTTAATGCCTATTCATAAACCTATAGATTAGTTTTGTTATTCATGAGATACGCATTCATTTCAATGCAAATTAACTTTTTCTAGTCGCAAAAAAAGTATGCCGGTTCTCTAAACTGATATCGCAATTTCTAACAATGAAGGAGAGTTAAAAATAATAAAACTATTATTATAAAAAATTATTTTTTAACAACTTTATCAAATTGTATTTTTTAAATCAATTTAATAATTGTACGTTATTATACGGTATGCGATGAGATAATTCGCTATTGTGTTCTCAAACCTTTTCGCATAAATTCCATGTGAGACTTCCCATTCTCCTCGTTATTTCGCGCGGCCGCGGCAGGATTAATGTCACGTGGCACTTGTAGTTCGTTCGCAATCTGGTTTTTAGATGCTGCGGCTACGAAACGTCTCCTCTACCGAGCTACCTACAAGACGACCGACTGTGTTTCGAGTGGAAATTTCCAATGGAAGTTGGCATGCCGCGCACACGGCGCAACCGTACAGTCAACCATAAAAGCAAATACTTTCCCATTGCCTCGTTTATTTAAAATGGTTGTCACGACGCTTTCTCTATTGAGTCCACGACAAAGTTATCATGTCAAAAATATGCACCCATGTCTTCGTTATTGTTTTCTTTTCCTTTGTTTTTTTTCCGCTGTAGCTATAGCTTATTGTGCTGTTACCATCTTAAGGATAATGAAAACAGTTATTATTGTTAATCAATCATCTTATTGTAAAAGCATAAAACTTGGTATGAAAAATAATAAAACATATTTTTAAATTGTCATATTAAAAATTTCCAAATATTTCTTTCTCTTTTTGATGATATATATTAATAACGTTAATTCTCCGAATGTGATTTAATTAATAAATTGTACTGTCATAATTTTACTTTAATTTTACAAATAATCTTGTATAAAAAGATAAACTTTCAAATTATAATATACAATATGTCAATATAGTTTTATAAATAATTTGACATGTTTCATCACGACATTGTTGTAATTATATAAGTTGTGCCAAGAGAGAGAGTGATGTGTTTTCTTATATCTACGAGACTATTTATAAATAATGAATGAAATGGCGTACATCTGTTTTTACACGGATTTGAATACTATATACATATACATATATATCGCATTACACCATTGCTATTTTTATAACCACGAAAATGTTATCAATTGATGACCAAATAATTTGTTTTGACAAAGAATACGTTTTTGAAAAAATGTAAAGCTTCCTATTTCGCGAGTTGATAGCAATCTAGTTGTGCGAAATTAAAGTCTTAATATATTTATCACATATTTACCAATATATTTTCAGTGAATATATGTTTTACCGATAATAGATTACGAACTTTGTCAGTAAGATACCAGGAGAGTCAGAAGACACCAAGTGTTAAAAGTAGATGTAGAGGACAGCACTGAAAAAATATCGTCTTTCTACGCTCCCTTTAATTTTAATTAGAATTAGGAGAATTAAATGCCTTGTCTCCGTAGTGCAATGGTGCAATGCGCTAGATACACATAGTGTAAAGAAAGAAAAATAAGAGTAAACTCTCTTTCTGAGAACAAAAAAGACAACCGCTTAAATTAATTCTTTTTCCTTTCTTTCTATGAGCAGAGGGATCCTCTCTGGCTACGAGCTGCATGGATGAATCGGACTGTTGGTAATTTCATGTAAAACAGCCTTCAGAATGCGGAGTATAATGCGGGGCTGTTTATAGCCGTGTGCGACGAGCAGCGACGAGCTCTCTTGGTGAAGTTACACGAATATGACAGTGCCGTCGCGTGACAAAAACTCCGCTGGTACTTGGTAGTATGTCCGGATTGCTCGGACCGTGTTAGATCTCTCTCGGGAGTGTGTATTATTCTCGACGCGAGTGCACCATTGAGATTCGCGTGAAGGAGTGCGGCGTGTCTCTTATGAGCGACGTAGCGAACGGCACGCGACGCGAATCATGGCGAAGGATGAAGGAGACGACGTGCTGCCGGACAAGGACGCGGCGAAGGGATTTTACGCCAAGTACGAGCCCAAGGAGATCCTGGGAAGGTGCGTGCGTCACTCCGCGTTTCACCCGTTTTCTAATACTTGTTATTAATTATCGACTCGCGCTTGCGTTAGTAACGCAAACTTGTGTTAGCAACTACTCTCTCCCATTCCATTTTTTTATGCATCTTCGCGTGGCCCCAACGAGCGTGGTAAATACGACGATAATACACGATCATCCTTCAAGTTGACGATAACATTACATAATTAAAACAAATTTCGACACAATTTTGACAACATTTTTCGTACAGACATCGTGAATTGAACATCGTTGATGTTGAATTTGGTAGATTTTGGGATTAATTTTCGCAAATGTCTATTTCAGAGGAATATCTTCCACTGTGAGAAGATGCATAGAGAAGGAGACAGGAATAGAGTATGCGGCTAAAATTATAGACATCAGCAACGAAACTAATGAGGATGGGCATACTATGAAGGATGCCACGCTACAAGAAGTTCAAATACTTCGTAGAGTGGCTGGACATTCGTACATCAGTAAGTTTCATATTTTACTCCACTTTAGAGATTGCAAAAATTGTGTAAAACATGTTTATTTATTTTAAAACAAACACAGCTGTATAAAACAATCATAGTTATTTTCTTCCTTTTTTTTACTTTCAGTTGAATTGCATGATGTATTTGAATCTAGTACATTTATATTCTTAATTTTTGAATTGTGCAAGAATGGAGAGTTGTTTGATTATCTCACGTCGGTTGTGACACTTTCTGAAAAGAAGACGCGTTATATTATGAGACAAGTATTTGAAGGGGTCCAACATATACATAACCAAGGAATAGTGCACAGAGATTTAAAACCTGAGAATATATTACTTGACGATAATTTGAATGTAAAGATAACAGACTTTGGATTTGCCAAAATATTAAAGCATGGAGAAAAATTGGAAGGTCTGTATAATTTTTTTTTATATGTATGCCAAGTTTAGGTGAGTAAATTTTTCATGTATTTTACAGATCTTTGCGGTACACCTGGCTACCTGGCACCAGAAGTATTAAAGTGTAACATGTTCGAGAATACAGAAGGTTATGGATTTGAAGTTGATATGTAAGATTTTTTCAGAGTTGTACGAAAAATGTACATGCACACACGTGCATGACGCACAGTGGCTTAGCATAAAAAATTAATAAGCATTATGAACACATGCATAATTCTATGGAATATATTAATAATTCTATATAATGCCATGTGCACGTGTATATGTGCATGAGTTGACTTTTAAATATGAATTAATTTCTTGCGAAATACATTACCTCTATATTTTCCATTTTTGTTTATGATGTAACAGATGGGCTTGTGGCGTGATTATGTTTACACTATTAGTTGGCTGCCCTCCATTTTGGCATCGGAAACAAATGGTTATGCTTAGAAACATAATGGAGGGAAACTATTCATTCACTTCTCCCGAATGGGCTGACATAACAGGTAGAAATTGTGTGATCAATAAAAATTATATTTCATAGAAATGATAAATTTTTAGAAAATAAAATATCAATATATGTTTTATAATGTATGATTTAGAGGCTCCAAAAGATTTAATAAGGAAGTTGCTGGTTGTTGATCCTAAGAGAAGAATTTCTATAAAGGATGCGCTAGAACATTCATTCTTTCACACTGTTGTAAGTACTTGATACTAAACATATCATAGAAAATACCCTTATTTTTATAACTTCCAATTTAAAATAAAAAATATGTAAAAGCCTTTTTAAATAACTAATACATATTTTATGCACACTATATTCGACTGCAAAATTCCGATATCTTGCCATTAATTTGTTTTGCTTTATTTCTACTCTCTCACTATTCACATTTCAAAATATATTTACACTCACTTAGATACAGGATATTCTAGAAGGGATTTCTTTTTTTTTCTGGGACATCCTGTATATTAAAGGTATCTTTATATGTACCTAAGAATAATAACACGCACAGCAAGAAGCAGGGCAAATGCACATGCAAAATATTTAATATTTTATATTGTGCTGTAATGATACAAATACGGGATTTATGGACAAGTTGAAATTAATTTTTTGTGTACTCTATTTATTGTTTTTTATTGTTTTTATTTTAAATAAAATATTTTTTTGAAACAAGTAAAATTGTTGTTTAATAGATTATAAAGATATAATTATAAAGTTCAAGTTATTAATCTTACAGCTGTGGGATCAAGACATCGCTCCTCTAAAACGTTCTCTGTCTTCTAACTCGCGACGTCTGAGTAGGATATCTCAATTAGCTTTGGTAATTAATTTACTTTTCTTTTTATTTTGTCCGCGGTAGCAATTTTTATTAATTACTACTATTATTGTAAAATTTTTACTGATTATCGTTATTTTTGTAACAACCTAACCTAACATTATTTTATTTTAGTCGCTATCATTGGTTATATTAAAATTATATTAAATAAGATTGGAAACAATATTAATAATTTGATTATTATTAATGTTGAAAACATTTAGAATTTGAAAATCAATTGAGAATGGCAATTAATCTACAAATACAATATTCTAATTAATTGAGCTTGTGCGCTTGTACTCATATATATATATATATATATATATACATGTAATTATTTGAATATATTTATTGCACCTTACACAAGAATTTACTAATATATGTAAGAATTTACTAATAACATTGAGAACGTATATTCGAATATGTGTTCGTTGATATTAACACTTTCATAGGGTGTCAGGCGTTGTATTGAATTGTATTGTAATAGAGACTTTCTCTTTCATTACATTTAGTGTATAATAATGATAGTGTTTTTTCTTAACATGTATAATATAAATGTTAATTTAAAAAGCTTATTTTTTGCTGAATAATTAGTGCATTTTTATCAGTGCATTTGTTTATTTGTTGCACAGGAGTTGAAGGCGAAATCGTTCAATGCAAGAAAGAGATTTCAATTGGCAATTATTTGTGTGAGAGCTGTTATTCGTATTAAACGGCTTCATATCACGCCTGAACCACTTTCGACACAAGTAGCTTGTATCGATCCATATAGAATAAAAATTCTGCGAAAGGTAAATTCTTCTACATGATAAAAAAGTTTAGTCATATCATGACAAAATAATAAGTTAAGTGCGCAAAACGCGTATAATAAGTATGAAGAAAAATATTGTAGAGTTTTGTGATGATATGATATTTATATAAATTCAAAGCCTTCTAATTATTATTCTAACAATAAGATTGAGTACATATGATGAAAATTAATGAAGTATGAATAAGGCCATTTGCTAAGATTCTTGATAATTGTTTTCAGGTAATTGATGGCTGCGCGTTTCGTGTCTATGGACATTGGGTAAAAAAGGGAGAGGGTCAGAATCGCGCAGCACTTTTTGAAAATACACCAAAGACAGAATTAAAGCATCTATATGTTAGTAATTTAAGTAGATAACTATTACAGTTTTAGTTAAATTTTACTGGTTTCGGAATCTCGATGGTCCTAACGAAATATTTCCCAGACAGATGTAATTGTAAAATATTCACAAGAGAAATTTTTTCTGAGATTAAAGTAAAATGGTTAAATAATACTCGAACTGATCAGATTTTTACTGAAATTTACATTGTAAAATCGTTTGTAATGTTTTAATTTTAATACAATTAATATATTGATTGAAACTAAGAAAGAATAATAAAAAAATTCCTAAAAATTTCTAAATTCAAAGTCAGAGAATGTAGAATTTTCTGATATTTTTTAAAATTACACGTTTTACAATGTAACAATATACATATGTCACTACCACATATTAAAATGTGGTAGAATTATTTTGTTAAAAATTATTTAAATCTTTGTTGTCTCTTCAAAACAAAATAATATATTTGATTATAAAAAAAGATGTATGTATAAATAGCTATATTTTGTGACATATATAATATAGAATATATAAATAATATTAACATGTTTTATTTTTGCAGAATGTAAAAATATTTCAGACTAGTGCTATATGCTATATATAGTATATATGTAAAGATACTCGTTTTCAGAAATCCATTCAGAGATTCTTTTCTAGATTAATTTCTATTAGAGAATATAATACTTCATGTAAAATCTAGTCACAATTTTTGTACAAATAAACTTGTCTTAAAGCATTATTGTAAAGATTGATATATTTCTGTGTAAAAAATTAGTATACAAAAATCAAACAAAATTTATTTAATGTAGATAAAATACTTTAAGTATTTCAATACAAATATTTAATCCCGTGTTTAAAAAAATCAATTTAATTAATAGTTTTCGAATTTGCTTTATGAGAAATTATTTCAACAACATTGTCATCATGTCACTTTTGTATCATTTGTATCCCTTAATTTATCTTTGATTATCTATAAAGTCTATTCTTTGAACTATACCATGTCATATTTTCGGTACACTTAAATAAAATATATAATTAGACGTCAGAGACAAAAAAAGTAGAGATGAAAAGTATAAAAAATTTAGGTATAAAAGCCTGTATTTCTTATATATTTGCATTTGTTCTGACTGGTCAATTTTTTTAAAAATTGAATAAGGTCATAGGCCATAAATTAATAAGCGTCTATTCGCGAAAAAATGAAGGGAAAAAACTGACAAGATTATGTTTCTAATAGCCACAGTCACCGCGATCACCTCGAAGCGGTCGCAAGCGGAGCGGACAGCGGTTGCAGCTCGCAGCCTCTCGCGAGTCTCGTCTCGCCGCTCGGCGCTCGCGACCTCGTGGCAACTCGTGGGCGCGTGGCGCGCGCGCGCACTGGCGAAAGTAAACAATAGAGCGTAGCTCCGTCCGGTGGAGGTGGTGGCAGAGCGGGCGCAGAGCGGCGCGGCGTGCACACTGCACGATAGTGGCACGGCACGGGACGGCACGGCAGACGAGACGAGACGAGTGTAAAAGCGGCAACAGTGCGCGCATTCGCGCTCGCGCGGCGTCGATCCATGTGACAGAGAAGGAACGTAACAAAAGGTGGCGGAGGGTGACGCCGCTGCCGCTGCCGCGCCGCGAGCCGCGATCGGAGCGCGAGTGTTTGCCCGGGCGAGCCGGGTGTCGGGTGTACGTCCGTACGTCGCGTTCTCTCGCGGTATCGCGTACGTGCCTGAACGCTCGTACGCCTCCGTCGTCGCGCAACGTGCAGGAAGGAAAGACGCGCGACGTTCCGCACGGCGCGGCGCGTCGTCGCGTTCACGGCGAATTAAACGCGCGACGCTAGAGAAACGGCTCGGTCGGCTGATGGACGGATAGCGCGTGGGCTTCAACGAACGAGTGTCGAGATACAACATCATGACGACGGCGACGGTGACGACGACGGCGGCGGCGACGACGACGACGACGACGATGACCGATCGACGAAGCGAGTGAACGACTCTCCAAAGCGGCGGCAGGCGCTCCGCTTCGCGATCCGCGATACTTGTCTCACACGCCCAGCGGGATTGCTGCGTCACATGGGCCGCGTTCATTCGTCGATACAGCCGGGTGACGTCACGAGCCGCGCGACGATTGGCCCGTGCCACGGTGCCCGGACACGTGAATCGTGGCCGAGCAAGCATGGCAGTTTGATGCGCAGTGGTTTTCAGCACTTGTAAAATGCCACCGCCACGCGCCAGATCGATCAGGTTATAACCCGCGTTTCGCCGCGCGCTCCGAAACGGTCGGCTCGTCGCGCGGTCGCGCTTGCGATCGGCGGGCATTTCTCTCGCGTCGACTCGCCGTTTGCCGTCGTCGGCCGCCTTGCAGAATCCCGATCCTGATCAGATTCAGGGGACCACGCGCGCGCTGACAAGATCGCCGATCGTTCTCGACACACAGGAGTGAGTTTGAGCGGCGGGGACTCGAGAGGACGAACGACACGATTCGCGCTGTAGTGTTGTACCTGCCCAGTGTGGTGTGTGTGTGTGCGCGCGCGCGGGTGTGTGCGCGCGTGTGTGTCACGGGAACGTGCTCAGGGCACAACGTGTTTCAAGCTGTAAGTTTTGGCGGAGGTACAACCCTTCCTATCTCTTTTCTTTCTATCTCTATTTATCTCTGACTATACCTTTCTCTCTTGCTCGAACCACCACGCCCGTTTGAGAGAAAGAGCAAAGAGGGACGGGGCGGGAGCAGGCGGGCGCGCGCGAGAGAAAGAGACAGCGAGAAAGATAGATGGAGAGAGTGTGAGCGAGCGAGAGAGCGGGAGGGAGGGAAAGAGAAAGCGTAGGAGGGAGCGAGAGGGTGACAGAGCGCGAGCGCGGGCGAGCCTCGGCGAACCATTATCTCCGTTACTAGCGCCTATTTAATTAACATGTGTATAGAGATGGTTGCGTGGCGTGTTGTCCGTGCCATAATAGAGCGAGCCAATGGCGCGACGTCCAGCCGGTAACGTCACGGACCGCGAGCGTCGCGATTGGTCGGCGTTGCATGCGTCGTCGACCGTTCTAACGTGCGTGTCGCTTTGTCAATTTTTGGAGCTCGCCGCGACACGTTCCTTCAAAGTTTTCGCAAAGGCACGCGCTGTTCGAGTTCCGCACGTCTCGTTTGCCACTGACAGCGACGATGGTGACGACGTCGAGAACGGCACCTCCGCCGCCGTTGCTGCTGTAGCTAATCATCGCGAATCATTCCGTCGCGCCACGCCGCGTCGCCCTGCTCCGCTCCGCTCCGCTCCGCTCTGCTCTTCGTTCCGTACCGCGCGTCCGCTCCCTCCACTATTTTCACATGCCAACCCCGCGCGTCTCCCGCGGAGAATGCGAGCGCGACCGCGCGTCGCCGACGTCGTCCGCTTTCGCGATTCCGTCCGCCAAGGTATACCTGGGCTTTCAAGTCGGCACTAAAATCTTCATTTTACTCCGACTTTTCTACTTGTTCGATTTACGTACGTTTTTTGGGAGTCATCGCGATACGCGCAATTTGCCTCTCTTTCTCTCATTCTTATATCTATTTGGTACTTTATGCAGCAATGTTTTTTTCGTCTCGTCGATGTCTGCCGCAGTGTCGTTTTTATTGTTCGCAAGAGACATAAATTTCCCTTCTCTTTTCTTTTAATTTTCTTTTTCGTGACAAAAATTATGATTTTTTTTCTTTACGCCAATACGATACAACGCGTGCATTCTCGTGACCGTTTTCGAGCACGCAAACGCCACGTAACGAGACGCCACTGCTGGTCTCCCCTTTCTTTTTTTCACCACGCACGTTCGAGCGGCGCGCGGCGGGGCAACAAGGCGATCCGCGAGAGCGCCGCTATGTTTGCACGATCCCGTGAATTGTCGATTTCCGATCGTACACGTCATTCTAGAAGTGTGCCTCTATTCGGTCGAATTATAAAATGAAATCGCGTATAAATTTAGGCAGTTACCGTGAGATAGAAAGATCGAATAACGAACCGTGCAAATCTGTTTGGGGTAAGAGAAAGAAACAGGTATTACATTCGAGATTATATGCTTCGCATAATATTTTGGTAATTTATTGGAAATCGATGCGCTTGAAAAACGATCTTTCAAGCGTCCAATCTATGTCGATTTCGCGAATGCAGCCATCTCGGAACATCCTCGCCTTTTCGAGCAGTCTGCTTGATTCTCGGATTTCTCGGTTCCAGCGCGAGCTTGGGCTACGTGCTGTCGTTCTGCGCTGCAGGAAAAAGATCCGCGACGCGCCTGCGCGGCGCGCTCCGTCTGATGCGCTGTTGCAAGAGCAGCGTGAGTGGGTGGCCGGGGGTGGGGAATGGAAAGGCTTCCCGCGCGACTGCGTTACGTCACGCGTGTACGTCACGTGACGTGTACGTCGTAGACACACCGGTCGTGTGTGAGCCGTGTCCGCGATGTCCACGACACTCTCTAGATAAGCCCGATAACGCTATCCAATTCGGCGAGCTCTAAACAAAAGTTTCAAGTAAATCGCGCCTCTCCTATTTATTTTCCTCTTCTGGCGTCAAAGTGACAGCTACATGACGGTAATCTCTTTCTCTCCTATGTTATTCGCTACCTCGCTCCGAAGAGTTATCACGCTCCGACTGCTCCGACTGAACTGAATTTAATAGATTATACTTCATAGAGAAGGCTTTTAAATATCATTGAAAAAAAAATGATTACTTTCATCTGATACTGTCCGATATAAGACATATACATGTATAAGTAATGCATGTTTATTAACGACTCGTTTTCTTTCCGCAGTTCGTCATACGCGGCGGGCAGCAGCGGCAGCAGCGAAGGAGGGGGGGCGAGGGCAGGGGACCGGGACTGCCGGGAGTCGGGCTCGCGACTTGCTCTTGCTCCTGCCGATTCATCGCCGGCGTCCGGAACCAACGGCGGCTGCGGCTGCGGCGTCGGTGTCTGTGGCTGCCGCGACGCCGGCGGTTCGATGCGGCGGAGTCAGAACGATCATTCGGCGAGTGTTCGCGAATACAGAGATTTGGCGGAACAGCAGCAACAGCAGCAGCAGCAGCATCAGCATCGCCGCCATCATCAGCAGCGCGTTCCCCTTCCTTCTACGCCTGTCGAGATAGAGCAGCTAACCGGCCGCAGGATGAGCTTGGAAACGTTACTGCAAGCGGCCTACTATGTCGAACAGGAAGAGAAGAAGCGGGAGCG